TAATACTGGTATCACTATCTATGCTACATAGTATTTCCTCCTTTTTAAGGAATATGAGCCTACTTGTAATTAAAGGAATGCTATATTAATGATGCCGAAAGTCTCAGAGGGAAAAAAAAATTTAATGTCCACCTCATAATATTATGCCAGAATTACATGTGCAGAATACTTTTTAATAATCTTTGTTTCTTAATTTAGTTTTGATTGGCTATGAAATACAGAGTGGCACTCAAGGGCTCAAATTTCTACTGTCATCAGCATTTCTGCTCTATAAATTGTACAAATGTACAGGACTCCCATCTGCAGGCTCCTTTTCAAGCTTCTATTTAACCTACGAAGGAAATTAGCTGCAGGCAACTGTAATTGATGATAATTTCATCATTTTTAGCTGTTGGGATGTATTATGATATCTAGGTCTAAACACAAACAGAAAATTATATTTTAATGTTGCCATTTGAGCTGCAAACACAGGTCGGTAACACAAACCCGTCTCTAGTTTGCAAATTACAGCAACAGCCACTAGGAGTCTCCTGGTCAAATTCATGATGAATTTGCACAGCAATCCCAGCTCAGGTTTGCATGCAAACCCCATGCTAAAGTCTGGATTTCAGCAGAGGGGCCAGTCCCTGTGCAGGGCAGGTGGGAGTGGGGTGACAGGATCTCTGAGCTGTGAGCAGCATCATCGGGTTCCTGAGATTGTACCAGGGATAGAGCTGGCACATGTTTTAGAAGGAAAGCCAGAAGCCACCCACACACTGTTCTGGTAGAGCAAAAGATGGTCATGATCATAGCAAGTCAGATTTGTTTCTCTTTATGACTGAACAGAGTATTGTGGATTTGTTCTTACAAAGAGGGAAGTAGATTTCACTGACTGTTAGTTACTCCCAGGGATTTCAAGATTTGTTTTGCACTTAAGTGCTGCAGGCCACAAGAACTAGCACCACCAGGTACTTCAAAATTTGCTTAGTGTGAAACCTGCAGCTCAAACCTGAAAATGTGAATAGCTTCTTCCTCTTTTCCTCTCTCCTCTCCTCCCAGGCCAGCTATGCACAAGCATACAGTGCCAGACATACTCTGAGCAATGCCAAATGTTCAGAGTTCATAAATTACAGATCTGCAGGAAGGGGTCACGCTGGCTTAAACACTGTGGCTGTTCAGCCCAAGTCTGTGACTGACAAAAGATGTCCACATTTCCTTGAAGGAATACCACAGAAAGAAGTCATGCACCTTCTGCCAGCATATGTAGCTTGCTCTGGGACACTAGAGACTGCTTTAAAATGGACAGAGAAGCCAGAGGTGACCAGAGAACCCTTCCCCACAGTGCTGATTATCCTGTAGGCAGGAGGAGCCCTTATTCTTATATACTTATTCTGGAAGGATGCTGCCACATCCTCCTTACAGATACATGCAACTCCACATCTAGAAATTGTAAGTGTTCAACTGCTCTTAGCCACTTATTTGTTTATAAGTTTTTTTTATGCATCTCTCCTCTTGAGCAAAAATCCTTTCCAAGCTGTAGAAATTCTGAATGACTTTAAATCTGATGAGATTTTAAACAAACAATAATTTGGAAGATTATTTGGCTTCTGCTTTTTGAGCTCCTTGGTTTCATTTTCAAACTTTTCCCTGCAACCAGAAGGACTAAGGAAATAAAGATGATGTTTTAAATGAAACCTGAGAATCTCATATAATCATAATTGTAGGACTCCAGGGGTTTGAGGTTTCAGAATAATCTCATGAGCTGTCAATACTGAATGGCACCAGAAACGATAATGTTATTCTCAGAATAGATGCCTAAAAGCAACTGTGGGATAGTTTTTTCTGTTGCATTCTCCCCATAATACCTAAAAATGCTGTTCTGGGGGACACCACAAAGCTACCTGCAAGTGGTGAGCTGCCAAATGCTGGCTTTAGCTGCCAGCTAGGGCTGTTATATTTTGCAACAAATTTACATATGCAAAGTCCTGTTATTCAGTCTGTCAGCTAAACAAGGAAAGTACAAATTCATCACAGGCTCATAAGATCATTTAATACCATAGGGAATATGCAGAAATAAGTAGGGGGCCAATTTAACCACCCATCTCCTCTGTATTGTATGCTTGCACACATTGCAATGCACGCCTGCTTTGTGTGTTATTGCAGATTATTATCAGCTACTCTCACAGACTGCCTTAGACTCTACCATAATCTCTCAGCAGGACTTGAATGAAATTCTCAGTCTGGTTTGTTTCAAGGATCTAATCTATATTACACCAAAGGCTGACAGAGACTCAACAGTTAGTCCATTTGGTGAAGAGAAAATTAGTAAACCTGATCAGGAAACTGACATGCAAATAAAACAGGAGGCTGCTTCAACCTCCTTGTCATCCTGCAGAAGCAGACTTGGCTGCTTGATACCCTTGTTTATTATTAGAATAGCTGAAAAGACCCTGTTCTTCTCCAAGTCAGTGTTAACCTGATTTCAATAACAAAACAGTGGTACAGGTTTGGCAAGCACATAGCCAGTACTTACAAAAAGAAAACCAAGCATTTGTATAAGCCAGTTTGGCACTTCACCGTGCTGAAAAGAAACCTTTGCATCTTTGTCACTTCAAATTTGGGCTTCTTTAGCACAAGAACATGTCTAACACGAAAGAACTTTTTTCCACTGCCCACTTTCTCCAAGTATGTCAGTGCTATCTTCTTAACTCATTTTCTAAAACTGAAAGTGAACACAAAAATTCAAGATCTCAAAAATTCCAAGGGCTCAGCACTACAAAATACATAAAACCTCATTTTGCAGGAAATATCTAATTCCTACAGCCAGCTATGGTACAGATAGACAATGCATTTTTAGGGATGAGAATGCTTTGCTGTGAGCCATGGGCAATACCTTAGGAACATTTAAATATTTCTGTCATTTTCCTTATGTTTCAAGCAAGACAAGCCATTACCAATGCATATCTAAATACAGTGGATATGTACAATCTACATCTATCCTGGAAACAACAGTTTATCATGTAAGAGTCAGTCACTCTACACTTGTGTGGCTGAATGCACACTCTCATTCTGTGGGCTCTCTCTCACTCTTCCCCAGGTACTCCCCTTTTTCTGCTTCTCATGTGAGGATTCTGGTGGCCTTCTGCATCTCACAGGCTTAAGCTGCAGGTGAGCTACAGCTGTAATCTCAGGTCACTCCCAAGCAAACCTTCCCCCCACATCACAGCACTGATGAACTGGTGTGGTCAAATGTTTTCAAGGGGAGTTCTGGCGCTATTTTTAACACTTAGATTTAATTAAAATGTCTTTTCTTTGCCTTGTTGTTTTTTGTTTAAAATTGTTGTTCTAACTAGAGTGCATACTGATAACAAAGGCCTTCAGAAACTTACAGTATTACTTAAGACAGGAACTGCTGCAATGTTTATCTGCACTAAAAGGAAGGAACAAGTTTTATTGGGCAGGTTTGTTTCTTATGGGTTTTTTTCTCATTAAAAGAAAAACTTTTTGCATTAGATGATGAGTTACTAAATATTACTGAGTGCTAAACCACAGCTACTACTATTCAGATGGAAAAATGTATTTCAAGACTAAGAAAAAAAACCAGTAAGACAATATTATGTGGGGCACATGACTTCCATTTGTTTTTAAACAGTGGCTGCTTGAAACTGCTTGGAGATTTAGTGTGTCAAAGACATGTCAGCAGAGATGGATTAGTGGGCAGAGAGCAAGTGGTGCAGTCAAAGGTTCATAGTGAATGTAATTTATTCATGGAGCTTCGCAATTTATCACGTGGCTATTACCATAATGTACGTGGGAAGCAGCTGCATGCGTGCAAATAATGCCTTAAATGTATGTGTGGTTGGATCTGAACTCCTTACAGAACACCAGTGGTGGAAAACAATGCCACAAGGCATTTAAAAGCAAATTTCCTTCCTGTGGGGATGCTGTCACCCAGCAATGATGATTTGTACACAGGGAAACAAATATCTTGTAGACTTTTCTCAGTTGTGATAACCTCACTTACCAGAACTCATTGGTCTTTCAAATTTAAATAATGTAGGTAATGTGGAGCATGTTTCCAGTGCTGTATTAACAGATGTAAGTGTGCATGATTTGTAAAACAAATCTCTCATTTTCTTTTCAAAGAACTCAGTATCTTCCACTCACTATTTAACAGAAATATCCAATCACAAAGAAAAGAGAGCCTCTGTAAGTGTGAGCACAAAGAAGTTATCTACAAGTTAAGATCTCCTTATCTGAAACTTCTCACAGTGTGATCTATCAAACACTTGGGAGCAGCACAGCTGTAAAATATTGATGTACGTACATATATATATATATACATATATAGTGTCTGTTAGATTCTTATACCTGTACATTTACTTAGCAAGCCAAACATTTCCAAACCCAGTCTATTTTAGGACCATTATCTGGTCTCTCTTAGTTTGCTTGAATGCCTACAGTTTCAGCTAGAAAGAAAGCTGTGAGTAGTTGCTAGAGCTTGGAGGTGATTTTAGCTGCACTGTCCATACAGACCTGTTGCAGCTCCTTGGGCAGCTGGGAAAACTTCAACAGCCCAACTCCCAACACCATTTTTTAAGCTTTAGCAATTGAGTTCAACTGGCCTCGCTGTTTGGAAATTAGACTTAATTATGCCATGCTATGATGCTTTAAACTGATTTAGTAGAATCAGTTCATTCAAATCTTTCTTGATCAGGCAAAGGCCATCCCAGTTATGGGTTAGCACAATAGGAGTTTTATGCTGATTTCTTTTGATACATTAAAAGTTGGTGTAGAGAGACAATGAATTCCGATAAAGTCAAGTTATGTCCCCATAAGCAGAATATCTCATTGCTCAGCTTAATGTACTGCTCAGAGTTTTGTACAGCAGAACCTTTCACATTTGGAATATGATGCAGGTTTTCTTGGATAATTTTGTGTGCACTCTAGGGCTTCTATTTTGAAGCCATCTATCACAAATATACCCCCACTAATTATGCAAAATGAAAAGCTTGCCTTACCATCGCACAGAAAGTTTCAGGAGGATCTCCACATGTTATGTCGGGGGGATCCAGAGTCACTTTTACATATTTGATCATGTCTCTGGCTTCTGGCTGGCAGGCCATGTAATCCCATACTTTTCCTTCTTCCGTGTAAATCTGAGTCTTACAGACGTCATAGTGTCCCCACACAGAGGGGTAGTGCTGCATCACAGAGGATACAGTAACCCAGAGGGTGTGAAGTGACAGGAATCTTGACAAATACATTTCTAAATCCTTTTATGTCAGCTTTGTAAGGATGCTCAGTGCTAGCGTATGTGCAGTTTAGAGATTATATGTACATATAACGTATGTATTTATAAAATAGATTCCAACTCAAACGTGAAGCATTAGGATGAGACGTTTGTTTCACTATGTTAAAGACTTTGGTAGAAGCCACCCAGGCCCTGATGACAGCCTTTCACAGCCATGCAGCGCTTGTCCTTCGACTTATAACTTATCTGTCAGGGCTTCTTGTAAAAGATGTCCAAGAGCAGATAATAATTTGTGAAGTTGCAGGTCTTGAGCTCCACCGTCGATAACCCTGAGTGATCCTCCGTGCTCAGGGCTCGCAGGGGATGCCTGGACACGCTGATAAATCAGTATCCGAAGGAAGAGGGTGAGTGTCTATAGGCTGGTGTCTGTTTCCCATCAATCATCCTTTTCTTCTGGCACCAACACCCTTTTAGAAACAATAAAAATTAAGAGTTATTGTCCAAGAATCAATGCATTACAAAATATACGATATGTTGACATTTTGAAGGTTTGATGCAATACAAAGCAAATTGGTACAATATGGATAACCTTTACTGTGGGTTCTGTGCTAGAATGAAGAAACTACCAAAATCATTCACAGTGAAAAGTATTTTGACATGAAGGATTTAACTGTACTCTAACAAAGACAGATTTATAATGTTCCAGGTGAGTTAGAGGTTCCTGCTTCCAAAACTGTATTTTCACCCTAGCAAAAATGGAGAGCAAACTACTGAATTCAGCCATGGCCCAGATGGTGCAGGCAGGCAGGGGAGCAGGCAGCCCAGCACTGCAGGGCAGCAGCAGCAAAATTCTTTTACTCAAGTGACACAGAGCTGGGCATCAGGGCTAGCAGGTGCTAGTAGCTTCTTGGCAGGAGGACCTCATGGAGCTCCAAAAGCCTTACAGATTTCTTTTAGATTATTATTTTAAGACTAACAAAGATACGGCAAGTAGAATTCAATTTCCTTGACATTTCTCATTAGCATTGCAAGAGTTTTGATCCCTTTTTTTTTGCCTTTGAACTGTGATTTATTGACCACATTGATGACAAACTATCTGATAAAGATAATGGCTTATTTTGTAGCTTACTATAAGAATGCTTTCCTCCCTTATTTTCTTAGGTTTGAGGGTCGCTGTACCTGAGAACTCAGCACTTATTTCACAGCAGATACATGCCCTTTACCCTCTTCAGAAAACAACTAGAGATCTCCTCACCTTGTAGCACCTGAATCACATTATTACAGGTATAAAATGCTAGAAGTATATCATAGCAACTTCAAATATATATTTCCTAAATAACGCAGGAAAAAAAAAATCCAAATTCTGTATGAGGAAAACTGCAAACACAGAGTAAGTACCCTAAACAGGGTCAAGGAAAACCAGGGCTAGGAATTCCAGTGCATTTGTGTCAGCCTGTGCCACCCGAGGTTGGGGAGCCAGGGCGCGGGGCTGTCGGCAGGGGATTTCAGCCACACGCTGCAGCACTTCCACACTTCCTTTGTCTGGATGCTAAAACCGAGCCAGACCCGCCGGACAGATGTTGAGAAACAACCGAAAGTCGCCACTTTCTGCAGCCTGCTTTGCTTCCCAGCTTTAAATCATGCCCAGTGTCACAAACCTCCTACATCCCACAGCCACGGGAAGAGGTGTGTGACCTGGTAAGCTCCTTAACGTGTCACGTTGGGAATATTCATTTTCCAAACTTATCTTCAAAGCTATTCGCAAACAGCTTCCCTATATTTAAATAATGCTTCATCTTAAACTGAGCTAAACTACAGACACCATGAAATGCCAACAGATGGTTGAATTGTGTTTCCATAGCAAAGTAATTTACAATAATTGCTGTATGGACGTAAATGCAATTTTCCATTATATTCATTTTATCAAGTGTTACCATACAACTCTCATGTATTTTATCAGAATATGCAGAGAATATCTGAATTTTCCTGCAGTAACAATTCTCAATTCGCTCAAACATATTTAAGCTTCAAATCTGAATCTGACACAAAAGCAGAAATATCTAAGACCAAATTAAATTTAAATCTCTTTAAGAAGCATGCTGGGTAGTACTGTTGGCTTTGTAGCAACCTTACATTCTTTTTTTTTTTTTTGTTTTCAGTGGGAGTGTTTGCATATTATTTTGGAATTCAGTAATTCAGAGAACATTTTCCATATAATTTTAAAGACACTTCTTCTCCTGTTTCCTTTCCAATGTATGTGCTATTCTGAAGAGGGAAAAAAAGCACCTACAAGAGCCCATAGCTTAGGGTTATAGGAAACTATGTCACTATAAAAATGGGAAACAACTCCTTGCTAGAAGAAGCCGCAAATTATTTTTAATTTATGGTAAGTCAAACACCTTTTATTTGAGATGGCTTGGTCATAGCTGGAATAAACAGTAAGTAAGTAAATAAATACAATTTTTCTGTGTAGAAATAAGAAGTTACTGAGTGTAATTATATTTAGACTGCAAGCTTGTAAATTAAAGCAAAAACAAAAAGTTTTTCTTTAATATCTTCCTTTCTAGCTCTTTAGTTACCTGTAATATTTTATAATGCTGAGACTCAGATTCGCTAATAAACCAGGACTGGGTAGGACTAAATAATGTGAAGCAAGCTGCTACCTTAACACACTGTGCTAAAATACTTCCCATATAACGAATTCTCATTAAAGTAAGCCAGTCATAATGATGGTTGTTACGCAGAATTATAGACTATAACATCGATTGAATTTAGTGCACTGACAAGAAAAAAGTGCAGAGAAGTGCAAGACATCTGAGCATTAGGCAGCTGTAGCCGTGTACAACAGACACTCCTGACAAGAAGCGGCCAATTATAGCTTAAATTTCTGGCATATAACCAGTTTTGATTAATAGTTTTCCATTACATTACAGACATATTATTAATGTATTAAAAATGTCAAGCTTTGGCAAGAACTAGTATGGCATGGCTCAGTTAGTCTGCAATATCTTCTTTTAATGAGCTTCCATTGATATAGAGAAAGATATTGACCAAAGCACATTAAGGATCATGTGCTGAGTGCTGCCAGGTTTTTTTCTGACAGAGCTGTATGATTTGTCTTGCTTTTGTTTGTTCCTGCAGAGTCACTTATGATATGCGTTTTACATTTTAGTGCCCTATTGCTAAGGACATACCTATTTGAATTATTTTGTAGAAAAAACCTTTGGAGTAACATTTCTGAAGTTTACAGCTGTGCCAGATGTTTAGTGATAAGCCTCTAGCTGTGGGCAACACATGGGCAATGGGGCTTTTTGTCCCCTGTAATGCCTGTGCATTTGACCTTAGAAAAAGGTAATCAAACACACCACTAATAACTACTGTCTGGTGTCCCGATTCCCTGTGCCCTGTTAGTCACACACCCTGGGTGTTGGGGGCCATGGAGGTGGCAAAGGAGGGATCAGCATCCTTGATGGCTGAGGGCCAGGGAACGGCAAACTGCCCCAACGACTTCAGCAACTGTATGCAAAGCTTCCAGAGCACGCTGCTCCCGGCGTCTGCTGTGTGGGGCAGCAGCGCTGGGGCCTTGAACATTCCATGTGCCACAGCCTCTGCACTATGGAAAACACTGGGAGGCACCTGGGAGGCACCGGTGCAAAGGCCACATCTGGCTCTGCCTTCCTCTCGGAGCGCTGCTCTGTCTGCGAAGGGCCGGTGGTTCTGGCCACAAGTGAGGATGTCACAGCCATCCGAGAAGAATGGCATGCAGCTGACCCCCAGACTGAAATCAGCTGTGAGCAGGCTCTGAGCACCTGCATCCCTTTCCAGATGGGGAAGTCACAGCTCATGCAGCGTGTCAATTCTGCATATGGAGGAGACACCCCCTTTACAGAACAGATAAAATGCATCTTGGCAGCATCAGTGCCAGGGAAGAGCTTCAGGTCTCATTAGGGGTTGTTAGCAAACACTCCTCCTTTGCCTCCTTCCATCAGTGTGAAAATCCACCCCCTTCCCCTCCTCACAACCAGAGCGGCTGGATGTCTTGCATGAGCTCCCTGCTGGGGAATTGCTGTGAGATCCATAGGGGTGGGCTCTTGGGGCTCTCTCTGGCAAGCCACAGGAACGTGAAGGAGGTAATAAAATAGTGACCATCTCCCACACTGACCGTGCATTGGACTGAGCGCACCCTGCCAGCACACAGGAGCAGGAAGGAGAGCCAGCAGCAGACCCTACATTGCCTGAGGAGAACTGGCTGAAACAACGAGGCAAGGCAAGGAGTGCCGGCTGCCACCTCCCCGCAGCGGCAGCTGCGGAACAGATTTTTCCAAAGGAAACATGTTTCAAGTTTGTATCCCAAAGAGCTTAAGCAGATAAATGGATCCAATCAAGCCCAAGTAAAAAGCGCCTCTGCATCCACTCCAGTTGTTAATTATACAAAGCCAGTTTAGAACATAGGAAATAATGTTCTAACCCTCATGCAAGTTACATTTACTAACCTCGTGTTGTATACCATGTTATACCTAGGCAACTTGAGAACCTTGTACATATATACAAACCAACCCCTTTTATAAAGGCAAAATTATTTATCTATTTTATCTATTCAAAGAAGAAGGGAACCTGTATTTAATGATTTAATACACGTTATTTCTGTCAATACTTATATGAAATGCAGTATACTCAAGCAACTGCTTTGGTGTCTTTGTCCTCAAATGCTGTTCCAATCAAAGTTTAGGTTCTATTCTTATCCAGCTTATTTAACTATTTAGCAGAAAAAGATTTCTTAGCCTCAGGAGAAATTTAAAATGTCAATACCTAATTAAAGAAAATAAAATACAGCTACCAAACCCCTACAATTTGGCACTATACTTGAAATACTTCTGGTTTTCACACATTATTCTTTGCTGACTGACACATCATACTACCACTGCCATTGCTTGCCAGGTATCATCAGCTGTCAGAATATGGAGTAAAAAGCATTTCAGCTATTTAAATTTTACAGCCTTAGTACATGGCTGCTTTTTTCCTCTCGCATCTTTATAATTGTTAGCATCTTGCCTTAAATATCTCTAGCATCAATCTGTTCTGCAAGTTTTTCCTCTGGGAATTTAAGTTAGCATTTGGGGAAGTTACAAGCTTTGTTTTTGGGTTTTTTTCAATGACTCCTCATGCTCAATAAGGCGATGCATGCTCATCACACAGTGTATCCAGGGCATAGGGCTACAAAGCTTTCAAGTTATGGTGTGAGCTGATGACTTTCTAACTGAAAGTTCTCAGGCTCAAAAATGAATGCCTGCCGGTTGCTGAATTTGTTCTGTGCTATTGCTGTATTTTACATAAATAGCTAGAAAGTTGGTGCTGCTTATCAATGTCAGAGGTTTGAGACAAAGTTCATAACTCCATGAGAGTATCGCCACTGTTTGAAACTCTCTAGTAATCATCCTGTTAAGGTCCAGAAATATACCAGAAATTAACCTTTATTTTTTTCCCCATGAAAAGCACAAAACAAAAAAAACCAAAACAAACTACCACCACCACAACCACAACATAAAACAAGCCAGGGGAGGTTCTGCTGTTTTCTTCCCTTTGGCGGGCTTCCCCGGCCACAGCTTCTCATCCTGAACCGCATTGTCCTTAGGCAAGACAGTGACTTATTCCCTCTTTAAAAGCATCTCCACCGCTTGTTCCACTCACTGTCTTTGCTAACATTTCTGTAGAAGTAATGCTGGCTCCTACCACATCCGATCCGGAGTAGTGAAAAGTTGATTGCAGAACAATAAAAGTGTATCAATCAGAGGCCAAAACCGCACATGCACCAACTTTGAGAGTAGAAAAGCATCTGTTTTATCGCGTCTAGCTGATCTGCGCTGCTCACCGCCATGCGGGGTTTTCTCTGGGGGTTCTGTGTGCGTGTGAATGTTTAGAAAAGCCGCCTGCAATTTCCGATGCAAGGGAGGACACCAGGCTGGGTACCACTGGCCGATGCCCGGCGCCGCCTGTGCCCGACGGGGCCGCCGCTCTCCGCGCTGGCTCCGCGCTGCGGGGCGGGCGCGGCGCGAGGGACGCGCCCCTCCCTCAGGGCTCGCTCGCGCTCCCTCAGGGCTCTCGCACCGCCCGCGCCCCTTCGCAGCTCGGCGCGGCGCGGCCCGGCCCGGTCCGAGCTCCGGCGGAGGAGGCACCGCGCAGGTACCGCCCCAGCCCGGCCCCAGCCCCGGCCCCGGCCCCGGCGCGCTCCGCTCCGCGCGGGCGGCAGGGGGCGCGCGGCCCGCACCGATCCGCCCGCGGTCGGTGGCCCGAGCCCGGCGGGGCGACCCCCGCACACAGCCCCGGCACCCGCACCGGCCCCTCCAGGCCGCGCAGCCCCCGCGCGCCATCCTGCCCCGGAGCGGCATGCGGGCTGTACTCACCCTGCGGGCTCGGGCCGCCCGAGCCTCACCGCGGGGCGGCGCGGAGCCGCCGCGGCGCTGGGACGCGCTGGGGCTTCCTCGGTGGCGGCATGAAGGGCCGCGGGGAGGGCGTGAGGAGGGGGGGGATGCTCTTCCCCGGGAAAGTTTCCGGCGGGTCGCGGAGGGGTTCGGCGGGGCCGCGGCTGGGCCCAGGCACTTGTCGGCGTCGAAGTTTGGCGGGGCGCGGGCGGCGCGCGGCGGGCGGGTGGCCGCACTCCTCCGGCGCTCGGCGGGGCGGCGGGCGGGTCCTGCCCGCCGGGCTCCCCGCCCGCCACCGCCGCTCAGGGCGGGAGCGGCCCCGCGCGGGGCGCCGGCGTCCGCGGCATGGGCGCGCGGCGCGAGCGGAGTGCGCCCCTGGCCGGGGCTGCGGCGCGGAGGGCTCCGGCGGCGCGGCCAAACTTCAGGGGGCGGCGACGGCAGCGCCTCCTCACTTCGGAGCGACCTCGCCGCGACTGCCGGCGAGCGGGGCGGCGGCAGCTACCCCACCTCCGGGCCCGCGCAACGCGCGGCCCTAGCGCCGCCGCCGCGCCCGCCCCCCCGCCGCCGCGCTCCCCGCCCCGCCGCCCCGCGGGCGCACCGCCGGCGCCGCCTGCCCCGCGGGGGGGGCAACGGGACGGGACCTACCGCCCGAACCGAGCGGGAGCCGCCCCGCCGCCGGCAGGGCTGTGGCTGCTCCCTGCCCGCTGGAGCAGCTCTAATTTTCCCGTGTTATTTCGGCTTCAGCCTGGTACCGCACAGGCGGAGGTGCTGTCCGTGCTGCCGCCGCCCGAGCCCCGAGCCCGGCGGGCTGACCTCAGCGCCCCGCCGCAGCCGCCCTCGGCTGCCGGAACAGGGCAGCGTGCCGTGCCGCCCAACTCGCCGGAGGGTCCCTCCGCAGTGCTGGGCACGCCGGGGAAGCGCCGCTTCGTCCTCTGCCCACAGCACCGAAGTGCCACCGACACAGGGAGGCAGCGCGACTTGTCCTGTTGTGGTGCTGCGGTGACCGCCCGCCCCGCACCAGCCCCTCGGGGCTCCTGAAAGACGCGAAAACCCCGTCTCCTCCTTCTGCTGTGCTTCCTCGCTCCCTCCTGCACGCCCTCTACTTCTGTCGCTTAAACGAGAGGCGCACGCACTTCTCCCTTTTAGATTTCTCCAAGCTACAAAACAGTATCTAAAACTAATGACTATCAAGTCCCGTGCAGGAATTGTGCTTACTTATTCCTGGCAACTACCTGGTTACTGAAATTGACCGACTGCAGCTGCCAGCGCTGGGCAGTGGGACACTGGCTGCATTGTGAACGCTCAGAAGCTGCGTTTATCGTTTGTTTGCGTGTTTTGCATGTTAAGAGATGTTAAATGTATTTATGTAGGCAACAGTGCCGTTGTATTTTATTGACAAAATTTGGCGCTTTGCAATGCCAGTAGGTAACCAGATGAAATGAGGCAGGGGATTTATGGAAGGGTAAGAAATTTGTTCTCTATTTGAGCCATGGAATTTGGTAGGTTGTGGAAATAACTGGCAGGAGTCATTAGGAAGGACAGTTTTCTTCTTTTCCCTAAGGCAGGTAACCCAGCAAAGTAAAAAAGATGCCTTCTAGTTCCTCCCAGGTTTTTTTTCTCTGTGGAGGCAGTGGTGTTGTTTTGGCATTTCCATTCATTCTCTGGAATCTCTGTGGCTGTGTTAGTGCAGGTAACACATGTATGGAAAAGTTCTTTGTGTGGGAAAGCCTGGAATGATCAAAGGGGTGGTAAAAACCAGCTTCAGGGATTTTCAATCCCCAAAAGCAGTTCTTGCTTTGTTTGCAGCCTCCTGGTCCCTGAGGTACAAACGGATAGAAGATGGAAATCAGTAATTTTTTTCTTCCCACTTGAACTGGAAGCATGTCAGGCATCGAGGCTCCCTAGGGCCTTTTGTAAAGAAGAGGGGCAGAGTTTCAGTGCAGTTGGAAGAAAAGGGTTGTTTTCCTAATTACTAGACAGATGGTGGGCTGTACAGCGAAGTGCAAGAGACTGTACACGCTGAGCCATGTCCCTGCAGTGGCACATGTGGATGGAGCAGCCCTGCTGCCTGTGCCGGCTGTGGGGCTCCGCTGCCTCCTGGCGCTCCGAGTGCGGTGGCTTTGTGCATCTCTGGGCCAGGCCGGATCAGCTGTTTGCAGGTGCTGCGAGGGGAATGGTTTTGGAGTGCTGGGGGAGTGTTGTCTTGCTTTAGACTTGAACTGGGAGAGGATGCCTTCTTTCCACGTGTGGAGAGAATGGCTCTTCATGTCACAGCAATGCCGCTGGCAGTGGTGTACTTGGAGAGTGCCATTCACACCTGCTCTGCACCTTGTGCTGCTCCACTTGCCTGCCCTAAACCTCACCTCCAGACATGTGCTGGAAGTTTTCTCTCCTCTGTGCAGAGTCTTTGGCCTCCTGAGGCCAGTCCCTGGTGGGACTGGCTGGCCACAAAGATTAAAGGCAGGATCGAGTCATCTGATACTTCAAAGATCATTAACTTCTTGATGCTAATGGTATTGGCCTCTTCTGCATCAAAGCTAGAGCAGCTGGTTTGAGTGCAGTGTCACCAAGTCTGAGATTAGATGTGCCTTACTGGTAAAAATGATGGCCAAAATCAAGTCTAGTCTGAGGATGTGGCCAAACTTTACAGCCAAATTTTAAGCTCATGAGAGAAAAGAGATCTGATTTAAATTATTTGTCAAAGGCTGTTGAAAGGATGAAAAAGCAGATGGAATTCAGCAGCTAGAGATTTCTCTGTGTTGTTTTTGTTCTTTTTAGAGTGACAAGCTGGAGTTAAAGAGAGAAGGGACAGTGCTTTTATATCCAAACTGAAAATACTGTACCAATACCTGGACTAAATTTCTGACAACTCTTTTAGTAGTCAGTAATGATTTTTCACACGTAAATGGGCTGGGCAAGTCACTGTCATAGCACCTTGAGACTGGACTTTAGCAGGATTCCTGAAGCATATTTGATATGTAGACAGAAGATAAGATTAACCAAAGTTTGAAAGGAATATTTAAAAAACACCTCAGGCCCCACTGCCTGCCTTACAGAATTGGAAATTGACTAAAAATGAAGATTTAGCAGTTGTTAAATACCCAAGGATGGAAAGTCACAACACTGGGAAAGTGTTATCTTGAAAGTGCTTCCAGCAGTATTTCTTATGTCTTCTCAGTAATAGCTGGCATTGGCCCCTAACAGAATCAGGGAAGGGGATTAATTTTTGATTACTGGCCTGAACATAGGAGCACCTATGCCTATTAGGACACTCCTTGCTACAAGGCATCATTTACACTAGAAGCAGCATAAATTGCTGGTACAGAAGTGATACCGCTGATTGCAAACTTTTCTGGTGAAGCACCAGCTGAACTGCAAGTTTTTAACCAAGTCCTAAATCTAAACAAGCTTTGCATGTTTTCAAGCTGCGGTTTGGCTATTTAGTGCATCCCCTCATGTGCCATTATGAATCTTTTATTACTTGCTGTAGTCCAAGTTGACCTCTAATGATACAGCAGAATTATTTTATTAGTGCCTTTCCCCACGGGAGGGTACTGCTGCAATGGGCAGTAGCGGAGTACCTGGCTTTCCCTGAAGTAGCAGCTGTCCCTGGAAATGTATCCAGAGGCACAGGGAGCTTCCCTGCCTGAAGCTCAGTGTTTCAGCATGCTGCTGGCTGAGGGCTGCAGTGAAAACTGCAGGTGTGATGTGGTGCAGCAGCTGGCGCCTGACCTCAGAACAGAGGCTGCTCCTGGTGGGGCCAGAGCCCTGGCAGGACAGAGGAGAGGAGGCAGTGGCTGCAGCTGCTGGGGCTGAGCGGTGGCAGGGAGGGTCCTGCTGTGCAGAGAGCGGCTCCGTGCTTCTGCACACCTCTGCTCTGCGGAGCTACTGGCTGCTCCATGTGCTGCTCTGCTCCTCCATCACACCGCATACCTATTTCTGACCTCTTTTGTCACCAGCTGAAGGAGTTTTTGCAGAGCAGCAGGCAAAAGGTGCAGGAGATAAGAGCAAGAGTAGTGCTAATTTGCCCATGCCTCCTACTGCTGAGCGGAGACAGGGGTAGAAATGGCAAGAAACAGCAAATTCTCCCAGCGGCAGAGCTGCTCTGTCCACTTTATTGCTGCTTTGCCCACAGTAGTTTAGCCTTCTTTAAAATCAATTGGCTGCCTAGAATTTGAGTGTTGTTCTGGGCTTCCATGTTTAGTGCCTTCAGTGCTTACAGCAGAATGATTGGAAAATTGTATTTAGATAAATGACAAAATCAAAAGGTTTCTGCATTCGAGTTGTTGAACCTGGAGAAGAGAATGCTCTAGAGAGACCTTATAGCACCTTCCAGTTACCTAAAGGAGACCAACAGCAAGAGAGCTGAAGAAAGGTTTTTTACAAGGGTATATGGTCATATGAAAAGGGGAAATGGCTTTAAACTGAAAGCAGATAGATTTAAATTAGGTATTAGGGAGGAATCTTTTACTCTGAGGGTAGTAAGGCTCTGGAACAGGTGGCCCAAAGAACTGGTAGATGCCCCCTTCCTGGAAGCGTTCAAGGAGGAATTGGATGGGGCTTTGAGCAACCTGTTTTAGTGGATGGTGTGTTCCTGCCCATGTCAGGAGGATTGGAACTAGCAACCAACTCAGGACATTGAATGATTCTGTGATTTGTACGGGCAGGGGACAAATCCTGACCTCTGTTCAGTGTAGTAGTGAATACACAGACATCCCTATGTAGTATTTTGACACTGCTCAAGCTTCAGCATAGCTTAAGGGCAGGGGACAGGGAGGCTACTGAAAAAAAATGTCACCCCTTGCTCTGAAACCTCCATCACAGTACAGTTTGTGAGAGGTTTTCTCTGAGCAGGCTGGGTGACAGAACAAAAAATACTGGCAGCTACAGGTGCCTTGTCTAGCCCAGAGTTTCCATCACAGCACTGTGCACCAGCAGACCCAGCTTAGCAGGCCTGGGCAGTCCTAGTGGGAAAGGCCTGTGGAGGCACACCCCTGAGTAAGGTAATCCAGCAGCCAGCTGGGAGTATGATGTTACACTGATGAACACTACATCCAGAGATATGCGAGTCATCCTACTCCTGCCTCCATTTCCATACAGCTTGATAATGACTTTTTCTCCTTAGAGGGTAAGGAGATCTTTCCCAATGATGTTTCAGAGCTGAGAGCTTCTCTGAACAGGACAT